ATCGCTGTACCGCTCACCAGATTGACCCGGAGGGTGTTACATTCTTATGGGGACCCGAGCAGCAGACTTCCTTCGAGACACTTCGTCAAAGACTGTGCGAAGCCCCGGTATTAGCTCTCCCGGAAGGATGGAGGACTTTGTCGTATATTGCGACGCATCGATCTCGGGACTGGGTGCAGTGTTGATGCAGAGGGGCCATGTGATAGCTTATGCATCGAGGCAGCTGAAGCCTCACGAGGCGAGGTATCCCACTCATGACTTAGAGTTGGGGGCAGTGGTGTTCGCTCTCAAAATTTGGCGTCACTACCTGTACAGGGTTCGTTGTACTATATACACGGACCATAAGAGTTTGAAGTATTTGATGGATCAAACCAACCTAAATATGCGTCATAGGAGATGGTTGGACGTGGTTAAGGATTATGACTGTGAGATCCTATACCACCCGGGCAAGGCTAATGTGGTAGCCGATGCATTGAGTCGTAGAGTGGAAAGCACTCCACTGCGAGACGTATGCTTGAGACTGACAGTGATGACCCCGATATTGGATGCTATTCGGGGGGCGCAGGCCGAGGTTGTGAGATCCGAGATGCAGAAGAAAGAGAGGGTCGTTGGGTTAATTTCAGAGTTCGTTAAGGATGGACGAGGACTTCTGACATTTCAGGGTCGGATTTGGGTACCATTTGTGGGCGGTACGCGTGCTACTTTGATGGGGGAGGCTCATAGATCGAAATTTTCGATCCATCCTGGTGCTACGAAGATGTATTTAAATTTGAGGAAGGAATATTGGTGGCCTTGCATGAAGAGAGACGTCGCTTGGTTCGTCGAAAGGTGTTGACCTGCCGTAGGGTCAAGGCCGAGCACCAGAGACCGCATGGTAAGTTGCAGCCCTTGGAGATTCCTGAGTGGAAGTGGAGCAGATTACGATGGATTTCATCACCAAATTGCCGAGAACTGCCAGAGGAGTCGATGAAATTTGGGTGATTGTGGATAGGTTGACGAAGAGTGCACACTTCCTTGCCATTAGCGAAAGTTCATCAGCGGAGAAGTTGGCGGAGTTATACGTGAGAGAGATAGTATCTCGGCATGGAGTGCCGATCTCGATTGTTTCAGATCGTGATGTACGCTTCACTTCCAGGTTCTGGAAAAATTCCATGAGGAGCTGGGTACTAAACTGCATTTAGTACCGCATACCATCCCCAGACCGACGGTCAGAGCGAGCGGATGATTCAGACACTGGAAGACATGCTTAGAGCGTGTGTGTTAGACTTCGGGGGTAGCTGGGATGCGCATTTGCCTTTGGCTGAGTTTTCCTACAACAACAACCATCATTCGAGCATTGGTATGCCACCTTTTGAGTTGTTGTATGGTAGGAGGTGTCGGACTCCCATCTGCTGGGGAGAGGTGGGACAGAGAGTGATGGGCAGTACAGAGATCGTACTTCAGATGACCGAGCAGATTCAGCAGGTTAGGCAGAGGTTATTGACCGCCCAGAGTCGACAGAAGAGCTATGCGGACAGACGCCGGTCCGAGCTGGAATTCCAGGTTGGTGATTTCGTTCTCCTGAAGGTTTCTCCCTGGAAGGGAGTGATCCGGTTCAGAAAGAGGGGCAAATTAGGCCCCGGTTCATAGGTCCGTTTCGGGTAATTGCAAGAGTAGGTCGGGTAGCTTATCGGTTGGAGTTGCCAGCAGAGTTGGGTCAGATTCACAACACCTTTCACGTATCTCAGTTGAGGAAGTGTATAGCCGATGAATCGGCAGTGGTTCCGTTAGGGGATATTCAGGTGGATGCGAGCCTGAATTACGCGGAGAGACCAGTAGCTATCAGGGATCGGAAGATCAAGGTTCTGCGGAACAAGGAAGTACCTCTGGTGTTGGTTCAGTGGCAACACCGGAAGGGATCGGAGATGACTTGGGAGCCGGAGCGTGATATGCGGGAGCAACATCCGGAGTTGTTCGCAGAGCGAGACTTCGAGGGCGAAGTCTAGTTCTAGTGGGGAGAATTGTAACAGCCCGAAATTTCAGGTACTATTTTTAAAACTATTTTGGGACATCTTAGGTAGGGACTCGGCGAGTGGTGCCTGACTCGCCGAGTAGGACCTCAGGCTGGGTCGCAAATTCGCGACTGGACTCGACGAGTCCATTAGGGACTCGGCGAGTCGACGCTGTTCAGCAGAAACCCTAACCGTTTCGTTTGGAACGTATATAATGCCTCTTAGGCCGTCATGGTACGTTTTTTTTGGCCGACTGTGAAGAACATAGCATCTGTGGACGACTAGTGGAGAAGGGAAGGCTATTGGTGATCTTGAGGAGGTTGTTGGGCAAGAAGAAGCAAGACTTTGGTCAAAGGAAGATCAAGAGGATTGAGTTCTGGAGGTTGGGGACACAGAGATCACGTTTTCAGGTAACACTTGGCCATTTCTGTTGTTTTGATGGGAGCACGAATCTAGGGTTTATGAAACCCATTTAGTGATTAAATAGATTATAATGTTGTTATCAAGCGTTTAAATCCCAGTAGTAGTATGCTTAGAGGCCCAGGAAGTCCCACGTTTATATATAGTGCGGAACCATGCGGATTTCAGGAGGCAGTTGATCAACTGCATGGCATGGACTCGCCGAGTTGTTCTTCAGACTCGGCGAGTAGCTTGAAAGTTCACTGGGACTCGCCGAGTTGTTCTTTAGACTTGGCGAGTAGCTTAAAGATTCACTGGGACTCGCCGAGTCGTTCTTTAGACTCGGCGAGTGGAGTCGGGGTGGCCCCGCGATTCTTCCACGAGGATCTTGTCGAGTCAGGAGGGGATACTCGACGGGTAGAGAGGGGAACAACTGGGAAGTTGGAGGACGTCTAGACTCGCCGAGTCGCCCTTGAACTCGACGAGTCCGGTCAAGTTGACCGTTGACCTGCATGTATTTTCGTAGAGTCAGTTGTCTTGTTTGATAGATCATTAATAAGAGTATGTGGTATTATAGGGAGCCTGCAGATTGGCGAATCGAGTGCGAGTAGTTTCAAGAGTCTATAGCTTACATACTACGAGGTGAGTCTTCTCACTATACTGTACCCGGAAGGGTTTGACTGTGTGACCGGAAGGTCGGATATGCTATGTCTTTTATATGTGCTATAAATGAAAGGAATAGTTGCTACGCATGCTATGTATGTTTCTATGGGCCGGAAGGCAATGTATTATGTGACAGGTAGGTCAGTGATGATTTATGATACATGTGATATATGTGTTAGAGTAAATGTATTATGTGTTATATATGTTTATGGGCCGGAAGGAAAATCATGCCATGGGCCGGAAGGCAATTATCTTATGGGCCAGAAGGCAATTTATCTTATGGGCCGGAAGGCAATTATCTTATGGGCGAAGGCAATTTATCTTATGGGCCGGAAGGCAATTATCTTATGGGCCGGAAGGCAATTTATCTTATGGGCCGGAAGGCAATTATCTTATGGGCCGGAAGGCAATCATTGTATGGGCCGGAAGGCATTGTACTGTGGACCGGAAGGTCCGGGCCTGGAAGGGCGTATATGTGTAAGTGGTATACTGGGGAACTCACTAAGCATTTATGCTTACAAGTTGTTATGTATATGTTTCAGGTACTAGCGAGGACCGTGGGAAGGCGCCGGCATGACGCGTACACACTGCCATTGTTGGAGATCTTGGGGATTCTTTTAATTGTATTTTCAAATGGAACTTGGAATAACTACTCTTGTTGAATAAAATAGTTTTATTTTAAATGGAAAATTTAATTGGAAATTTGAGCTATTACAGTTGGCGCCTTGCTAGT